CCCCCCCCCCCTCCTATGCGGGCCCCCCCCCCCCCCCCCCGGGATGCGCGCACACAAATCGACAGATCGATACATAAACTCTTCCGGAAAAATAACTCCGCAAAGCAACGCGTACACCTGGGATAAACTGTGGCTAGAACCATTTTAACTGGTTCCTTTAGTTATTCTCCACACACATGCACGAGAAGTACAAGTACACAAATCGACAGATCGATACATAAACTCTTCCGGAAAAATAACTCCGCAAAGCAACGCGTACACCTGGGATAAACTGTGGCTAGAACCATTTTAACTGGTTCCTTTAGTCATTCTCCACACACATGCACGAGAAGTACATTTTGGCTTCTTTGCGTGTAGACATAGTGTTAAATTAAAATGCAAGTCTGCGTGTCACGCTATCGATAAAACACTCTAAAAACCATTTCCTCTACTTCTGTCGTTGTTATTGCCTTCTTAAAATTTAGTTCCTCTTCTACATTATTCATACGCCACCTTATATATAATTAAAATCCCTAAAATAGCTACGAATTTATTTGATTACATCCCTCAGTAAGATGCGTTTAACAACAACATACTCGTCCTCAGTCTGCGTCCTGCGACCTACTTTGCGGGTTCAATCTATAATGACAATTTCTGTCTGTCAATCCTGGATTCCAACCCTCGTCACATTAAGTTGGGACACCCGGTGCACCAACCATATTGCGACAAAACGTTGTGCTCTTCGTTTCCCAGTGTTGAATTTTTTGCTTCTGCCATACCAAATCGCAAAAACCAACACTGGGGAGGCAGAAAATATCCGTAATGTCCCAACTAATGTGACGAGGATTGTAGTCCATGTTTTATACCCAGTCTGCAGTCCGCAGTCCTGGTCCTGGTCCTGGTCCTTTTTTTTTACTGACCGATAACAATTGCATCAATCATGGCGGAAATTCTGATACGCAGGATCAGTTGTCTTTCTACCATATTTCTGGCATGTGCTCCTGTATCTGGTAAGTTTTTGTCTTTTGCTTTTTGTCTTTCTTCGGTTAAGAAGGCGAAAACCTTTATGCAAATCATAATAGAAACTTATTTAATCCATAGCTTCCGCGCAACGGCCGCCGTTGGCAAGGTGGGAGACTAATATTGCACAGTTTATCTCCCATGCTCATTTGACGTCGCGATCATTATTTACATCAATTCACCTTTAATATCTTTTCGACAAAGCTTAAAATAGCATGTATCAATCGTTATTAGCCTGCGAACAGGTTAATGCTTAATATTGCATTTAATATTTAAATGGAAATCGTTCTAATTTTCCTTTCCACAGCATGGAATTCAAATTCTTAAGACTATTAAAAACATCATAAATTTGCCATAAAGTATCAAGATAGAATAAATATATCCTTTGCAGACCCTTCATCAATAAGTATTGCAAAAGCACTGCACGTCAGTGAAATTTCTATGTTTGTGTTTACAAACCGTAATTCGCCCAAGGGTCTTCAACCATGACGGTGACGGCGGAACGTTACTGAAAAAGTGAATTCGCGCTGTATCAAGTTTTATCGCCCTTATTCCATCTCGTTCGATTTCTCGAATATTGAGGAACTTTTTCTGGAGTTGTATTATAATGCACTGTCAAAAAAAGGAAAAAATACAATTGTTGTCTTGTGTTCGCGCCCACCATAAAACGTGAAAATAGGAAGTTTCGCTTCGTTAAGTCATGCAACGACGGCAAAGAAATGAACAAAAAAGGATGATGCCCCTGAAAATTTGTCGTTCTTGCTAAAGCTCCTTTAAAAAGTAAAAATTCCTCTAACTCCCTTGTGTCTGGTGTCGTACTAAATAAAAAACATTTTTGTTGATAAGATTGGGCACAAAAAGACAAGAGGAAATCATTGCGTACTGCTTAATTAACAATTGCAGAAGCCGTGTTTGTATGGACAGCTCCTCCTCCAGCTTGGAACCAAACGGTTCAGGGAACAGATAACATTCAAACTGCCGTCGTTGAAGTGCTGAATGGTAGTGTCAATTATCAACTGAGATGGAATTACACCTTATTGGATGGACAGAGCATCCTTGTGGTAACCTATGCAATTATTAGTGATGGCATAGGCCAGTCAGATGACATCGGAGTTGTTGTTGGCGGGAACTCTATAATATATAACAGGAATGATTACCGTACTCGCTTCAGTATTGAAAGCAAAAACGAATTTTCTACTTTGACAATAAGCACGGTGGCTGAAAGAGAGAATGCAACGTTCCAGTGTGAGATTTCTCTTTCTGAAGGAAGTTCTTGGGCATATAACGCACGGATTTCCATAACAGGTAAATGATCGCCAAAATTGCTTACTCAGAACTAAGTTCTTCACAGGCATATATATTGTGCACAATTTATTAATAGATACGCTATTGGCTGTTTGCAAATGTAACCACAGGTTTCAAGTAGGCTCTCCCCATACCTGCCATAACCCTAGTAAGGAGGAAAGACCAAACGCGTAACTAATCCAACCACGATGGCTGTATTTTTAGGACGCATAATCAGTAAATCTTTGATAGCTCTTGTTCCGGGATGTTGGTTTCAGTGTAAACTAAAAAAAGCTTCTTACACCCAGGATAAAAAAATATTCAAAGCCCCTTAGAATAGCATCGTGTGGGTCCTTAGTTACCCATTCTAATTAGTTCACTCTGACATATTGTTTAACTTTTTGAACGATTTCTAGGAGATCAGGATTACTTTTTCAACAGTCTTCTGGGTGTTTGTTTTATTTTCCTCTTAAAGGCATTTTTTTGAAAGTTTTGCCTTAGTTTTAGGCATTTCATTTCATATTTTTGTTCCGATTCTAGAAAATTAATTCACTTGAATAGGCCGAACATACCACAGCCATCCTAGAGTTTACCGGATAGTGGGGCTATCCAACGCTTAAACAAGTAAGGCCAGAGCATTAATAACAGTTTCTATTTGACACTTCTGATTTATTGACAGACATTACATTATTTTGACACAATCAAGCATGATAATCACGATTTGCATCAGTTTGTTAAATCCGGTATGTCTACCTCGGCAATAACACAACTTATACTCTTATACCACATATTTTTGCAATCCTTTTTATTTTTAATTTCACCTATTGCGTATGTCTTACTTGTCTTCAACGTATTTCATAACTTGATTACATAGCTCTAAATTAATTTTCTCATCTTGTATGTGTATAGTTGTTTTCACGTTACACCATCGCCGCCATGCTGGTGGACGGTAAGCAAAAGATCGCTCGTTAATTGGTTTTGTTTGACCACAATAATTTGTTCATTTCACCATTGTTATTCGTGTCTCCCGAGAATGAATGAAAACCACCTATATGTTTTCATCCAGGTTTTCATTTTTAACTTAGTACTTGTACACTAAAGCCCGATTATACTACGAGCAAAGCGAAATTAAGTAGACTCGAGCCTGGGTCTGAGTTTTGCCTGCATGAAATTGCCTGACACTGTCGCATAGTAGATTTTTTTCTCTCTGTAATGACTTAGAGCACATGCGAAGAATTTGAGGATGATTATACCTAGAAAAGTGCTTCTTCGTTTTCCCGATAGAGATTGCCGACAAAGAACACGCCATCACCGATCTTTAACGAATGCAGAGTTGTTCCTTTGTGATTTACATGCAATAATTAGTTCACATAAACTAGGGGTACCTTCCGGCAAGTGCCAACGAGGCGAATTCGTTTATCTGTTGTGGAATGTGCCTATTCAGAGCTTCTTTCATAATTTTAGAGGTTTAAAATGGATTCCGCTATATAAAAGGATGGCACCCAACTTAAAAGGAAAAAAAAAAACTTTGGCACATTCTAGGCTTTCGCTTTTATTAAACAATAACAGCATGGCTTGAAGCTCTGTTGGTAAATATTAGCAAGTTAGCACTTATGTTTCATGGAAAATTCCATTGTATCAAAGCTATAAACGTTAGAAAGAAAAATATCGTTCTAATTAGGCCTTTGACTGCTGAAATTAAAAATAATGATTAAATCTCGAGCAACAGCGTCATCAGGGATAAGAAAAATATTTTGCGCGGTAATATACATAAGAAAAAAATTGGTGTGAACTAAAATGAGTGAGAAGCGTGCAAGAATGGAGCGGAATGTATCAGAGGTATAAAAATATAACTTGAATAAAATACAAAGATCTAATGAGCGAGTGGTTTGTCAGCAATACTCAAGGCCAGGACACTGAGTCATATAATATCATTGTGCAACGAGACAGAGGGGGTGTTCTTTCCGAGGAAGCTGCCTCGACAACCATCAGAACAGTCACATAGGCTGTTAAGCTAAAACAAAGAGAACAAAGAATTCCCCATGCAATATAATTGTAATCTACCCTCTCGAAAGAAAACAAAAGCATTATAAGCTGGAAATTCAAGAATAATCTTCTTTTTAATCAAAGACAATATATCAAAGTAAAAGAAAAAAAAGACAAGAATCAAAATAAGTAAATTTTACAAGTGAAACTGCTCGAGCACGACATCAAATAGGCAAGATATTTATTTAGAAGATATCTTAGTTTTACTTTATTATTTTTTTCTTGACTTCGGTAGAGGCTCTTTTAGCTGTATTTTTTAATTAAGTAGCGTGAATTCATCAATCTGAACCATTCTTCGTTTTCCAAGAAATATAAAAGGCCGCCCAAGATCATGCGCTGTGAGGTTAGTACGCCGCAAAAAAAGCGCTAATTTATTACACCCAGGATTTTAGGGTGCACGAGGGGACACGTGACCAGCCGATTCCAGGGCCTTTTCCCTCCCCACCCATTTTTTAAGGGAAAAACTTTGCGGACGAGGTTGTTGATTTGCATGATATGATCGATCCCATAAGGCTTATCGTGAGGGCGTCAAACGCGGCTAGGTTTTATCAAATAGAGTGATGCGCCATTGTTTTCTTTTTTCAGTCAAACCACAGAATATAAAGCTGTTAACAAATGCCACTTCAAACCAAACCTGTCTTGGAAGCTATTTGAACTTCACTTGCTCAGTGGGTTCTGCTAATCCACCAGTGACTTCCTATCAGTTGCTTAGAAATGATGTTGTTGTGGACACAAGCAGCTCTGGAATGTGGATCAGGATGCCGCCAAACAGTGGGGTATTCACATACAAATGCCTGGCAAACAACACTGTGGGAACAGCAAACAGTACAAGTGTAAATATTACTTTTGGAGGTAAATATGATAAACTGTCAAGAAAAATAATAACGAAAAGAGTTTAACTCAACGTTTGGATGTCGCCATGACATCATTGTAAATTGTAAATTGTAAATATCTTATTATCCACTCCCCGCAGGGCTTTTCAGGGATAATTTACAACACTGGTTGGGGAACTTTGCCAGACTGCTTAAGGTGCAGTTTACAAGTACTGAAAGAATGAGTGATGATGCCCCCATACATGAGTGTGAAAGTGAGATAGACCACTACACCGGGCACTACGTGCCCTACTCTTTACGAAGAGTGTGTGGGTTCTTTTTATTACAAAGGCAGCACTTTCTCCTCAGTTATTTAAAGACCCTGAGTGTTGGTCCGGCCGGGGTTTGAACCTACGGCCTCCCGCTCAGCAGACCGGCGCTCTCCCAACTGAGCTAACCGGGCGGCGGTTATCAAGTGACAAGATAATAATATGAAAGTTCTACTTCAATTTATACACATTGGAGTGACAATGGCCGTTTTCACACTAGAGACGGATAATCCATCTTCAAAATCCGTCAAAATTGACGGATGAACAGATGGATAAAGTCAGGCGAATTGTTCATCAAAAATTAAAACCATTACATTTTCAAAATAAGTCGCATTATTTGTCTGGCGCGAATTATCCAACAGACGGATAATCCGTCTCTAATGTGAAAACGGCCAATGTTTGCTCGAGAAAATGAAAATATGTTAAACAAACAGTTTTGCCCGTATGGAATCTGATTGTTTGTTTAAGCTTTGTTTCTTCTCTCATTTCATAAATCAGACGGTCAAATATTTCCATTAAGCATGAGCATCGTAAGTTTAGAGAAGTTGCTGCTAAGGTCGACTATGTTGTTTAGGCCGCGGTCGTTCTTTTTAAAGTGCAAAGCGAGGGTGCCAAGCGATGGTGTTCATCAATGTGTTGATGTAAATTCCGGCAAGTGTGGCCAACATATCTTGCATCGCAAAGGTCACATTGGTAATTATACACCAGGCATTGTTAGTTAATTAAAGGTAGTTTGGGCTCATCCATTTTAAGATTGTTATCAATTTTTCGGCTTGTAAATACTGGTTGCAGGTTGTGGTCGATTTTCTTGCTCAAAACAGCTGTTTTTTCACTGCATCGGTCGACTTGGTTTATGGTCAGCGCGCAGGTTATGAGAAAATCAACCGGGCGATTTAAGCCAACCAGAAATGGCGAAATATTTTGAATGAATAATAATTATTTTTACAGTGCCTCCAACCATCCAGGCCTTGCAAAACAAGACAATAACTGAAGGTGGTAACTTGAATCTGTCTTGTAATGCATCTGGTACTCCTCCGCCAGTCGTGTCATGGGCGAGAATTAGAAGTGGTCAGCAGTTCAATGGAAGTTTGTTACAGCTCACCAATGTATTCAGGAACCAAGCTGGAGACTACAGATGTGAAGCTAGCAATACTTGTGGGACTAAATCAAGCACTGCAAGAATTTGTGTTAAGTGTAAGTGTCTTTTCAAACACGGACCTACGACTGTATGTGGGAGCTTGGTGAATACTTAAGTGGAAAACAATTATGAACCGTCAGGGCTCCTGGAACCGTATGTTTGTCCATACCTTCTTGCATATCCGGCCCATCTCTTGACCAAGTCGAATGTTGAAGCAAACCACAACATGTTGAACAATTTTGAAAATGTGTGGTTGTAGATTTTTGTCTTGTTAAGAACAGTTTTCTATTGCCTTTAGACTATCAGAAAGATTAAATTAATGGAAACTCTTTCCTTTTTCACTAACCTTAATTATTTTTTCCATCATCATTTATCTCGGGAATGTTCAGTCTCATAAAATGGTGAAAATTTTCCCCTGTCCCCGTGTAACTGGACATTTTAGTTGCAGAAATAAGGAAAAAAAAACCTTGGTAAGATTTGTTGTTAAGATGTGAAGTCGCGTTGCACTTTATAAATACTCG